AATAGATATAACTAAAACTGAAATAAAAATAAATACTAAATAAAAATATTTTACCCACAAACTAATAAAATGACAAAACTGCATAACAAAAGTACTAAAAATAAAAATTCTGATTCAAAATATAAACATAACAGCTTATTCAAAATATTCATAAACAAGATGATAATAACAATACTAATAGCACTGTTTCTCACTGTTTAATACTTATTGCTACAGGTATGTTCAAATCTCTAATCTTACTGTAAATATGAGCAATAGTAATATTGATGCTGCCTTGACAAACATCACTTAATATACTTCAAGCTTGCCTTTGTATTGTACAGCATACATTGTTCTACAGGCTCTGCAGCAGAAGGTTGAGGGTTTCTGCTCTCTCTATGCATAATGTTGGTAAACGGATCACATATTAATGGAAGCGGTGTTCCTTTGAGCTTCTAACCAGTCAACTTCTCACTCTTAACCACACACCTGCCATTTTTTATTACGCCCCTTAGGCAGCTTTGTGTGGAGTCCACCAAGGTATTAAACCTGTGGAAACCACCATAACTCCCCTAATAAGTGTCCATAACCCGCTCGCAAATGACAGGGTCTTTGTCCTGGCCTGAGGCAGTTAGGACATGATGTTCAGGGGAAGACGACTACCCCCACCTCACACCGCGCACGCACACACGCGCTCTTACCCATCAACCCCATCTCATGAAGTATGGAGTTTTATGAGGCACTCCAATACCCCCCACACTGTGTAATTGGGAGCGTCTCTGTCGTAGTGATGGCTCCCTGGGGAACGCGGGTGACATTGGCGGGGGGATGGACGGGGTCACGTGCCGGCGTGAGGGATGGTGGGCATGGCGATCTACGAGAGATTGGGACACTGTGCCTTTGACGCGTAGACTTAAAACATGCATTATTAGCCATTCATCAAAGTTTTGTAGGCAGCCGGCATCCGTTCTGTTGTTTTAAGTCTATAATGTGGAAGGAACAAGGTATGCCTCTCACAGGATGAAGCACAGGTGCTTTGTGGGCTTGCACTCAATAATAATCACATAGTCACTAGTAGGGGTGTAACGGTACACAAATATGACGGTTCGGTACGTACCTCGGTTTTAACGTCACGGTTCGCGTCCGCTCTAGTCAATGCTTGTGTTGGGATTATACCAGCACGTTTCTGAACCGTCCCAGAAGCGGCTCTCCAAGGCGTTTATACAGCGATCTGTCATGCCACATCAAAGACTGTCAAAACGCCATTTATTATTTGAATTTCCTGAGAAGAAAAAAAAAAAAACTGTATTCGTTCAGTTCACATGCGTACCGAACCGAAAGACCCGTACCGAAACGGTTCGGTACGAATACGTGTACCGTTACACCCCTAGTCACTAGTGAATTCCTATTGTGACATTTGTACTATTGACCTCAGCTTTGTGCGTAGCACTATTGTTACCAAAGACTGCTGCCTTCCTCCAGGGAAGTTACTATTTATGAGTTTAGATGTTGCTCATAAGGTTTGTGATTTTGGTGAACACAGTGGATGAGTTTGGGCAGTTTCTATATTACTCTTTCATATTTAGTAAGGTTTTAATAATGTTTTTAATAAAAAAATGTTTTCTGATGCCCAGTCCAGTACTACTTCTTTTCACTGGCCCCACCACAAAAAAATATACCACATATTTATTTTTAGCTGCAGTACCATTTAAACGTTTATGGTCAGTAAGTTTTCTTTTGTTTTGTTTTCTTAGAAAACTTTTATCTTTTATTTTATGTATACTTTTATCAAGCAAGGATGTGTTAAATATATTTTTGACAAAAATATTAAGCAGCACAACTGTTTTTTTAACATTAATAATAATAATAGGAAATTGTTCATTGGCAGGAAATCAGCAAAATGATTTCTGAGGATCATGTGACACTGAAGACTGCAGTAATGATGCTGAAAATGCAGTTTTGCATCACAGGAATAAATTACATTTTAGAATATATTAAAATAGAAACAGCCATTTTAAATGAATACTGTTTTATATAGTTTGTACTGTATTTTAAATCAAATAAATGCAGCCTTGGTGAGCAAGAGAGACTTCTTTAGAAAAAAGAAATTTGAATAGTAGAGTATGGATTTTGGATTTGCTAGAAATACTTTTTTTTTCTCATAAGTACTTGCTTTTCATTAAATGTCAAGTTTTTCTATATATCATTGTTTTTCCACGTTTTCTTCATAAATAGATAGCTATAATGCAACTTCATATTCATAAACAATCTTGTGCAATGCAGGAAATGAATTTTTTGTAGCTTTCAACAAATTCTTACTGATGCTTCGAAACACTACAAGTAGTAATTGTCTAAAAAATGGTTCCTATTTTAGCTATCTTAGATTAGATTATCTTGGTGGAAAATCAACAGAATTTGCACTAAAGTGGTGTAACTGTTTAGTGAGTTTGGCCCTCAGTTATTATGGCTTATTATATCATTATGTCTTGATCACTGGGGGAACTAAGGCACGGTTTTCTGTAAATCTGTTTTGAACTGATACTGTATGAATTGTGAAAGGGTGCTTCTTATAATCAATACCAATTACTTCCCATTATGATTCTCTTAATTGACACCCCCTCAACCCAAAAGTTAACTTAAGGGACAGTTCACCTAAAACAGTTGTCATTATTTACTCTCCATCCTGTCACCTCGAACCTCTATGACTTTTCTTTCTTGAAGAACAAAGACAGATATTTTGAAGAAAGTTTCAGCTGTTTAAAACAAAGCGGAACCCCTTTGACTTTCATTGAAGGAACAAAAACATGACATGAAGGTGAGTAAATGATGGCAGAATTTCATTTTTGTTAAAGTATCCCTTTAAAAAAACCCTGAGGTTCCAGATGGTTAATAAGACATTGTAGCGTCCCAGCTCATAAATATGACCATTCCGACGTGACTTGAAGACAACATTTGAATCTGGCAGGTAGCCAGCAGGAACACACAGGCATTGATATGAGTTCAGTATTCAGGGAATAGAACAAGACCAAGTGTGATCAGCAGTCATTGTTGCCGCCGTAGACTTTATAAAGACTCTTTTTTTTTTCCACATGGATGCCGCCTCCTTTCACTATCCCCTCGCTTTTTTCCTGACAAAAAGGGTGGCTAAATGAATTGCTTGCAGCAGCAACAAGCTCTGTATTCCCATCGCTCATTAGGTCAGACAGAAACATCAATTCTCTTGAGTCCATCAAAGCAGTTGCTATGCCTGCCGCACGACGCGGCTCTTAAACATCCCAGCGCTGGCTTTGTGAATGCAGCTCAGGTACTCCGTCATGGCGCCTCTCAGCTGGGGGAGGTGATGCAAAGTCTACGGTGGGTCTTTTGCCGGTTATTTTGTGGGTCATATCTTTGTGTGATACTGTGGGATGTAGACTGAAAAGTAGGGCGCCGATGCCACATCTCATAGATGCACACGACCATATTTCACATTAATTTCTCCTGAGGTGGGACGATGTTTGAGGCTTGAAGTATATAGGTTAATATACATCACTGATTCCCAACCTGGGACAACTAAGCAGTTTCCAGGGGGTACTTGGAACAGTTTAGCTTTTGTTTTGTTTAGCCTATAATAACAGGAAATGTAAGTGATAAAGTACTTATTGTGATATTGTGATCCATACTTTAATATTGAATTCAAGTGACTGTAATGTTATTAATGATAGGCTTGATATGATTATTACATAATCTCCTAATCACCATTTTATCTAATCACTATTATAATTTCATGATGAAAGTGTGAACATCTCTGAAGTGTGTGCGCACCGCTTGCAGTTTGCGTGACAGTCTTGGCAATGTATAAGCAAAGCTTATGTGCGCTGTGAATGCGTTTTGCTTTATTTTACAATGTTTTTAAATGTAAACATTTCTATTTAGTATTTTTTATGCATAATAGCAAATATTTTTGTTGTTATTATTATCATTATTTTAATATTATTTGATAATATTCTAATATTTTACAATAAAACAATAGGCTAATTGTAAATGTTTTACTAGTTTGCCATTTTGGTTATGAGCCTACATGTTGGACCATTTTAAATGATGTATGCAAATGAATTATTATGAATATGATTATTATTATTAAATATAAGTATTCTAATATTCATAATAAAACAGTTTTTAATTTTGTATAAAATAGCATAATAGCTATGTTTTTGGCCATTACAGGTTGGACCATCTTTAAATGACATTGACATTATTTTTTATTTTTATTTATAACAAAAATTGTTTTTTATTTGTAATTATTATTTGTAGTAATTTAATTATAAAAATTTATTATTATTATTATTATTATTTAGAGAGAGTTGGATTCCAGGTGTAATGTGAAAAAAATATGTATTTAAATGACATTTTCTCATCAGCCAAAGTTTCCTGATTGCGACTGCCATAACTAATGATAATGCTAAATTATATTTCATAAAACCTTAGCAGTTAAGGTCTGAAGGGGGTATTTGGGCTGTAAGGGGCACATACTTTAAGACAAAAAAGGTTGGCACACAGTTCAGAACAAAGATGTTCACCTGCAGCTGTAGCCTGGCATTTTTCTTTGACATGCTTCTAAAAAGCTTGTCATGTCAAGCATACTTGTCATATTTTTTACCCGACAGCATAAATGACTGGGATTTTTCTCCTATTCTTTCTTTCATGTGGGCTCTTTTACAGTGGCACTGTGTGACGGAGTCAGATAAAGCCTTCTTTTCTCTTTTCCTTGACAAACATGATCTGGTCCTACTGGTGGAAAAGAGCGTTATCCTGAGGTCGATGTTGACCATAAATACCTCAGCTCTTACAC